CAGCCTTCTCAAGGCATCACTAGTACCAATATTAATTCCTTTTCACCCAGCCCAGGTTATAAGTGGTGTTTCTGGTCCCAGCCCTGCACCTTTGTGGTTTCTCTCGCCGTGGCATTTGCCCATCGTGCGTCACACGCGCAGCGCTGCACCCCGAGCACCTCAGCAAAGGTTTCACGAGCTCTCGTTTCCACATTCTTCTGGCCAGGGCACAAATTCTGGTTTGTGGTTTCAGATGAGCTCTCCAGCGTGTGACGTGAGCAGGCAACACCCACATTGCTGTACAAGCAAAGTCCTGGTGTTGAACCATGGAAATCCCAGGATGGTTTGGGTTGGGAGGGAACTTAAACTCATCCAGTGCCACCCCTGCCATGGGCAGGGACACCTTCCACTGTCCCAGGCTGCTCCAAGCCCCATCCAGCCTGGCCTTGAGCACTGCCAGGGATGCAGGGGCAGCCACAGCTGCTCTGGGCACCCTGTGCCAGGGCCTGCCCACGCTCCACATCTGTGATAAATTACTGCAAATTTAGTCCAACTGTTAAACACAGAAGGCAGTGCAGTCCATGTAACTCTCTCACCAGTGCACCCACTTCAACACCCTGCCAGATCACAATCTTACCCTGTATCTTTGTGGCCATCTCTTCTTTTGAGATTGCAACCAAGCAAAAAGAAAGAATTGCGTGCTCTGACTAACTCGTGTTTAATCTGGAAATCATTTTGCTCTTATGGCGTGCAAGAACTGTAAATGTCCCAAAAATGAGCTAGGTAATGGGGGAGCACCTGCTCTGCTCCCTGGGTTAGGGAGGAATCAGTAAAAGGCCACAGTGTCACCCTTGGAGCAGCTGGTGACAGCATCTCTCTCCATTTGCTGCCCAAGGCAAGGCAACACCAGGTCTCCATAAGAAGATTCTCCCCAAGGCCAGCCTGGAGCTGAAGTTGTCCTGCCTGGTGGCTCTCTGGAGCTCCCACAGCGTGCTCATCCTGCCTGGACAGCAGCCATCCCTTCTTTCCCTAAATCCACAGGCAAACACCACCTTCCCCTACAACACCTTCCCATACAGCTCCTTAATCCAACCTGGCCAGGCAGCAGCAAATTTCGGCCTGGGAACCCCAGGATGGGCTTGGGCAACCCCTCCATCACCATCTGCTCCTGGCACACAGAATCAGAG